TGTTGAACACAGTACTCTGTGCTGTAACCATTTTAGTTGCCATGACAAATTGAAAACGTTTTGGTGGCTCATTTGCAGCAAAAATCACCAGTTTGGCAACTAGTAGTTTGTAACAAGCTAAGCAATATTAATTACTTTGTATTGTCTTGTGTGGTCCTGAGTTAAAGAAACACATAGCAACTTCTAGATTTCTATAATAAATATTTGCCACCTTACCCTTGGTTTTTCAAGTACATGTATTGAACCTTAAGATGTTGCGAACCACCCAAACCATCGGCTATAAGCCAAACCATGTTTCTCCTGAAAAAATCTCCCAAAATTTTGTGTCAAATGCTGAAAAGATCGCTCAGCTTATGGGTGAAGAAATACGGTACATTGTACACAACTCCAAAAACAAATTGCAAGTCATACTGCTCATTTCCAAGACAAACATCATGATCAATGCTATAATACAAGTATATGGTAAGGCAATTTTGAAAAAAATGCATTCCTATCCTTTTTTTTCCTCTGGCATTCAAAACTACATGCACATCTTAATGAAATCTTTGTAATTTAAGGAACCAGATGGCACTTCAAAAAAACTTCAGCATGGAACCCTGACAGAAAACAAAAATCATTTCCAAGAGATGTTTCCTATTTCCAGACAAATGTAATGAACTGCACTCTTCTACACCACAAAAGGCATAAAAAAGATAGATCTTTTACAACAGTAACAATAGGAACACTCACTGTTTCACATTCTCTTAGCTTCTGCTGAGCCCCATCAAAGTCAAAATTGACATAGAGACATTCCAAAAACTCTGTAATTGGATCCTTGTATGTGTAAGACTCTTGTTGAATGACTTTCACCAGGTCTTTGAGTACTGTTCGTCTGCGCTTGTTAGTGATGACAGCAGTTGTGAGGTATCTTAAAATGTGGGGGCATGTGGTTTGGATTGCATTGAGGTATCTAAATACAAAAAAATAAATAGAAGAAAAATTTGAGGAATTTCTTGGAAAACATCAAATAACTAAGAACAGCATGTCCAAGATTTAAGCCTTTTCATCCTAAAATTTATAGCAATTATTATGTACATTGAAATAAGCCCTTTCTCCATACTGTTCCATAGACAACATTTCAAAAATGTTTCTGTCTTTGGGACAACCTATATTCTCTACAACACATATTCTCAAGGTTAAATTTGATTGGTTTAGTGACTGAAAAGGCTAACTTCACTATGATAAGAGAGCCGAGGGCTTTTCTGGGAAGGAAGACAACAACTTTGCTAGCTTGAAACAGTTTCGTTTGAGATCACAGCAAAGATCTGATGTCCCTCATACTTACTGAGGTTGGTAAAGAAACAAATCAATGATTAGATCTCTTCCTTTTGGATGATTAAAGAACACAAATAAGCTCCAGTGAATCAACCATGTTCTTTCTTGCAGCAGTTGGAGTGTTCCTGCCTGATTCTGAAGAAGCAATGCAAGACATGTCACCTTGTAAGATAGACTGTATGAAATTATATTGAAGACAAAGAGCTTTCAAGATTAACTATTGATTTTGTGATAGGAGATTTCAATATAATTTTAAACAATGTCATTTCACAAATCTGTATTATATTTTAATTCCACAACACTTTTTTTAAAGTGAAATTCAAATTGTAACCCAGACATTTGCTATTGAAGATGATATGAGAATGTCAAAACATGTTTTGTAAACTTAAAAATGTATTAAATGCAAATTTTGGAACAAAATTTAAAAGAGAAACAGGAACAGAAATAGTTTGCTTGACATTTTGAAATTCTCTTAGCTTGCTGCAGCTTTTCAGTAGACAGTAAATTTAACAAAAGAGCAAAATAAACAAATGAATCAGTAGTAAGCCATTTGTCATAATATCTAATATTACCACAGTTTACAACAATTGATAAAGAAAACAAAAAAAAACAAGATTAATGGTGAAGAAACCTCAAAAAACCATTAAGGCTTGTAAGCTAAGGTTCCATCAGAAGTAGCACAATAAAAAAAATTAATATAGATGACAGATAAACAAAAATAACATGTTGACAGCTATATAATAGTCCGTACTCCAAAGCAGAATATTACGTGGTTATTGATAATAGATATTTTAAGCTAATTTTCTAAAAGGATGCGAGAGATTGAGAGCCAGAGATCTCAAGAGTAAGAGAATTGAAGCACATTGATCTTGATGCAGAGGAATATGAATCATAATGTCATGCTATACCACTTATTTCAGTGATCCTCAGGCTCAACTTAAGAGCTCTTTATCAGCCAATTTAGAGAACTGAAATACTCACATTGCTCTCAATGACATCTTTTAACCTGTTCAAATCCTCTAATGCAGTTTCCCAGTTCTGCATGAGGATTTCAGAACCTAGTTTACCCCAAAGAGCATTCAGAGTATTTCTATCATCATTCCCTGGAACCTGTAACGAAAATAAAGAGTATTTTATCCCTCCATGACCACAAGTGCTGTGATTGGTCAATTTAGCTGACCAAAATGAATATAATGAGCTAAAGGGAGTAAGTTTCTAAAGAAGCTGTGGTGCTGTATCGGTGGGAGAGTATAACAGGGTAATTTAGTATTATCAACTGAGTTGATAATGGGGTTTACACTCGAAATATCAGCTTTGAAACTCTTTATAGTGGCCAATTAATGTTATTAACTCAGTTGATAATACTTAGTTACCTTGGATATAAAGCTGTTTTTGTTATAAATAAAAATCTCTCCTTATCTCACACAAATTGTTCTTAACTTCCAAGGGCAGGCAAAGTTTAAATATATTGTCTCCTTAGTTTGAATAGTATCTTTAAATGTATTAATGATTAATGAATATTTCCAATTTCCTTCTTTTGCTTTTGCTTTTGCTCTTCAGACAAACCCATCAAACACACAGTAGAGACATAATCAATCCATGAAGATAGTAAAATTCTATTAGCCTTAGTTTCATGCTCCAAACTGTACGTTAAGGATCTTTACCATTCCCCCTTAATTTATAACCCAATCATGAAGTGCATAGGCATATTTTCAAGGAAAAAACTGCACCTGCAAATTGGAACCCAAACCTCAAACTCAGCTTGTTAGAGCTACTGTATTGCCTTGTTTGATCTCAGGTGTTTTGCTCTGTCAGGGAAATAACTAATAAGGTTTCTATGATAAATTCTGAGATTACTCACCAGCACACGATAAAAGTACAAGTATTCTGCTGCACCAGAGTAGTTTCCACACTCGTATTGAAATTTTGCATATTTGTACAATGTGTCTAACATTTCTGGCTCAACCTGTAAACAAATAAAACAAAAGCTTTCGTAAGTTATGAAACAGCTCATTCTAGTCTTGTATCTGAGGTAAAAGAAAAAAATCTGACTTGTGATGAAAAGTAGCCCTAACCTCTAAGAACAATGCAACTTACATCTAGAAAACCTGAGGTTTTCACCCTAGTAAATTTTTAAAGCATTATACTGATGCAACAGAATTTGTACAAAGCACAAAGATAACTGACTTAATCAAAGTCATTGTATAGAATCTATGTCATATAGAACTCTAGGAAGAAAGAGGCATAGCCTTTGCTCTGGAGTTTAGTCAGTCTCATGAGAGTAATTCTTTTAACTATATATTAATCATTCAAAAATATACAAACCCCGTGGTTCTTTTCCAGGTATTCAAATAACTGTCGCCCATCTCTGTCAAAATTGAATGAATAAATAAATCAACAAATTAAAAGTTGCTCATAAAATTATAAGGACTACTCATGGAATGCAAGAATAAATTAAAATTGTAGTGGCCATTGCAAATTTTCTGATCAAATTTGAAGAGTGTTCTGCTAATTTCATTATTTGATATACTATCAAACTAACACTACCTCACCAATACATGATGACTTAGACCCTTTGAAGTGTATCATACGTATGATTATAAATTTTCTTTTTCAATCAATGTTTTTGGGCCAATGAGCTTATTTTCCTATTCTTGCAAACCAGCTTAAAGCAAACTAGTACTACCAATATTATTTGAAAATTTCCAACTTTCAGTTTATCTAAGTTGACAGAAAATTCCTGTATACAGTCAAATTGATAATGAAATTCAACAGTTTATATCACTCATTCAGCCACTATTCTGTATGAGCATTACACCAAGGCTAACCTTGAAATTTAACATACAGTGTGTCAACATTTTCAAAGAAAACAACATTTACTGCATAAGTCTTATTTCATTTTACCTTGTTGTTTGCATCTGATTGTTAAACTCTGGATCCTCAAAACATTTCACAATAGGTTCTGTCTGAGCCTGAAGATATTTCAGTTGTGTGACAACTTCTGTTCTCTTTTGAACGAGCTCTACAGTGAAAAGTACAACATTAAACATATTCAATACTTTTTTTGGAAACATGTGTTATTCAAGATGGACAAATGAATTTTAAGAGCCTGAAAACTCAAAGAGATTGTTAGCTGGTGAATGAATTTCTAGAATTTCAATTTAAAAGCCTAAATTCTTTTTCTTTTTGTCTCTTTTTACAAGTGTGTTGCAATCATCCCTCAATCTATTCCACAAGAGCATGCAAATCCAAACTCCATCATTAAACTAATTCAAACTAAAACATATTAAAGTTCGCATGGCAACCAGGTGGACAATCAGACATAGTTTGATGCTACTCTGGTTTGCAGATTTAATGAATGTAACCAAAAAAGTTACAATTCATAGACCCAACGTTTCGACACTCCTGTCTAGTGCCTTCATCAAGGGTTATCTAAACGCTGCAACTAGAGGTCCTTTTATATGATCACTAATTAGCAACACTGTACTCCTAAAAATTTCAATAAAAAACCAATCAACCAGTTCCCCATAAAGCTAAACCTTATGCTTCAAGCTAAAAATTTTTTGAAATCACCCACAGCATAACAGTAATTTTTTAGTCCAGAAAATATTCACACATATGCAAAGATTACAAAGTTCAACAATATACATTTCATATTAAATAGGGGTTATTTTAAAGGCCATTGTTACTGGTCACACGCTATCAAACAATATCAACAAACCTTCTGGAACTTCTTGGTCTGGGTAGAGATTTTTGAACACATCCATGGCAAAATCAACCTGACAATCAAAATAATGAATAGCATTAATTATGGACATATATATATGTACTTACAATTTAAATGGCTGGAAACATTTTTCAGGAAGACAATGTGTATTGGTATGTTGTAGTTGAAAACCATTTAAAGCTAGTACGATCTTTATTTTCCCCCTTCAGTCTTGTAAAATTCTCTTGAGAATGACAAGGAAGTTAGAGTGCTATGACTCCTTCAGGCATAATGGAATGCACTTACTTCACAATTTCTGAACAGTATAACACGATTCTTTAGCAGACTGTTTTCTATAAAACTTAAGATGGTTTTGAACCAAATACACCCAAAATATCTTAGGTCATCTTTATGAAAAACGAATCGGCTTCAAAATTATTTGAAACACTTTTGGATGGAACAGAAGCCCGGATTGTTAAAGAACACAGATGTTTAGATGTAATTATTCTTTTCAGTACAGTATGCCTCCTAAGTACACATATGTTATTTAAGCGTTCGTACCATATATTTTGGAACTATCATGCCTTTCAGTAGGATCAGTAAGTTTGAAAAATCAAAAAGGTTTCAGAAGATACAAATTTTGGGGGGCATACATCGTATGCATGTCTTCGATAGGGAGAGCTTCTGGTCAAATAATTTAATCATTTCATTGTTTTTTTATTCGGATTTTCTTACCATGTTTGTGTTGCTAAGAAGATCTAACTTCCCTTTGAGTAATTCCTTTTCATCGTAAATCTAAGATCCGAGACAAAAGTTATGAGATGAGCAGATTGTTAGCTTAAAATCGTCTAGGAAATAGACTTGTCTTATATATATATACGTCGAGTTTTCACTTCGAAAAATATACAGCTATTTCCTGATAACTTCACCATAAAAGTAAACGAATCGATAAAAATACGATATAAATTAAAACTTACCTCTTTGACAGAGAGAAATTCTAACAAGGGAAAAACGAGATGTCGATCTAAAAAAGAGCCCATTCGGGCAGTCAGATCGTGTTCCGCCATTTTGAAAACGTGGTTGTTAGACTGGTTCCCAGTCCTTCACGTTAAAACGAATCGAAGGAAAAGTTAGACAAGAGAGAGCAGGTGAGGAGAATAGTAATCTTGACTAATAAATTATGTCAATTACATGGCTAGCAGAAGGTACTTACCGATGCAGATTTAAGTGCAGACTGTATTCGGTGCTTATGGCCCCGTGTGGCCTATATCCTCGACAAGGCGTGCAATGAAACAATTACGACGTATAAATCGCGCAAAAACGGCTGGCTGGGAAAGAGAAGGAGTGGTTGGAGAGAGATTGAAGAGTTAATTTCTCAGATATGAATTTCGGGGAAACCCATGATTAGATTCGGTATCATATTTTTGGTGATCTCTTTAATTTTCCACGGAACGTGTTCATGTGTAACCAGCAGATGCAGTGAGAGATCCCGTTTTAAGACGTTTAAGTAGTTATGATTCGCTTATCTTAATCTACATCCGCCTGTGATTGTATCAAAAACAGAACATTAAAGGTTTCTCTCGCAGACCAGGGACTGTATAATAAAAATTTGATCACACGGTTGAGGTTGCTTCATGTTTTTAGGTGTAATAAAATTTGTGTAAATCAGCCTTTGTTTTATTGAAAACCATTTTTTTCTTGTAACCTACCAAACTTATTCCCAGTGTCTTTATTCTAAATGGAAATCCTGTTTCAATAAAAATGTATCATTTACAAGGTCGAGCCACTACGTGTAGAAATTGTCATTTTTCCATACAGAAAGCTGTCTGTGTGCGACGGCTCCATCAATAGTCTTGCTCAATTGTTTTCATTTTCTAATTGTAACGAGGTGTTTTTTTTTATGCATTAAGGGTTTAAGATAGCAATATCTATGATGCGATGGTACATGAAATGTCAAAAATAAAACTTGGAACTTTTATTGCGCTCGGGGAGACTCGTGATACCCTGTTCAAGCCACTTGGTAAGAAGAGACGAGCTAAACCATGAACATCCCATTTTTATCGCCCTGCCTCGCTCTTTAGAGGGCAAACTTTGCCACTGAGCCTGCCAGCTTATCTTGGCACTGAGCCTAAAGAATATTTTTTTTCCAAATAATTTGACTTAATTTTTTTAGGTATTTGCCTGGCAATAAGCTAGGCTTTCGTCGGTGCTGTCACACGTCAATGGCGAGCAGGCAAACAATATAAGAGTGCGAGAGCTCTGCAAGGGTACTGGAACAAAAATGACCCTTCGCCGAGCTCTTGCACGCTCGCTTCGCTAACCCGGCCCGAGTCTCGCTGGCCTCGTTACCTGTGTCACAGCGCAAATTAGCTCGCGCTCGCAAGCTATGAACCTACCAGAAGTAAAAAAAAGGTTTCCGGCAGTAAGGTATCGGGATGTCGAAATATGCCCTTGTTTAGGGTAGGGGATGGGGTTGGAAAAGGAATATAATCAAGGGCATTTTTCAACCGGCCAGATATCTGGTTTGTCTTCATTCACCGAGAACCTGGCACATTCAGCCACTTTTGACAAATTGGCAGAGCATGTAAACAATTTTTTTTTTTTAATATATGAAGACTACACGTTTTGTATTATCAAAATCTCCCTTGCGTGACTCGATCAGCTCACCAGTAAGGCACGCAACGAAATAACTTTCGCATTCCGAAGCAATACAGACTCTCAAAAACAGCTAAAATTTTCAAAACAACAATGATGTAGAGTTTCGTATTCTATAATGAATGTTTTTACTCCAACCATTGCTAGCTCATCAATATTTGTGGGTGTCTGATATGATATAATCTAATGGTTATGTAATGTCTATTTCGGCGCTTACTTGTCCGAATTAAATTTAGAACTGCATCGTCACGGTAAAATGACTGCGCAAGCGCCGTAGAAGAAAGATATAAAAGTGAGGATTTTTTGCAAGATTTTCATTTGAGAATTCAACCGGATTTTAAAGTTATCAAGACTGCTGCGAAGAGGATTTGGATATTACTTGAAAGAAGTAACGATGGTTGTCGTTTTCAGCAAAGAGAAACCACAGCACTGCGGAAACTGCAACGAGCAATTGGAGTCCATTTGCTTCCGATGTTTAGAGTGCGGAGAAATTGTTTCATGTCCAAAATGCAATCCAAGAGGTTGTCGTGAAGATGAGGATCCACCTTCAAGGCCGTGGGATCATCTTCCTTGTTCAAGGGGCAGTTTCGCTAACCGAGGAAGAAGCTGTGAGGCATTACATGTTTCTTTTCCGAGAGGTGGTTTTTCTTCTCGAGGTTTCATGGCTCGACCAAATTTTCCCCCTACAGGTCCATTTCCTGGAGGAAATCGAGGCTTTGGATTCGGTCCTCGAGGATTCG